ACTCTAAACCCTAAACCCTTGAACCGGTAGTCCTCCAGAGCCCTAAACCACATTGGAGCTCTTCCCCTTTCCCTGAGTTCTTGCTAAGGATGTTTACTCAACCGAAGTTACCATAAGAAGGAAATTGTATGGTTTACTATAGATCCTTATGATATTTATGGTAGCTTAAACTGGTGTCCTTCAAGAGATTACTATAACCATAGAACCCTCTTAAGAGAACCCTATGCTGTGCTAACTTAAACTAAATTATTTAACCCTTTTCAGCTTCAACTATGTGTTCTTTATCAGGGCGCTTCCCCGCCTCGAGAAGGACATGCAGGACCGAGTTGGGTCTAACAAGACCATCCTAATCATGGTTTGGGGGACCTAGTTTCATCATGCGTGTTTGGTTTTGGGGTTTATGGGGGGTTTGGCAACTTCATGAACTCGGGATTGAGGGTTCGGCATGTACGGTGTCGTTCAAGCTTGGGAGGTGCCTGTCTCTCTCTTGCCCTAAACCCTAAACGGCCCTAAGGAGCATTTAGGGCCGTTTAGGGTTTTTTCCGACATCCCAAAATTCCAACAAAACGCCATGGTCAGTGGCACTAGAGATCGGAAGCAGAACATTTCATCTGAATCCAGAGTTTGAAGCCTAAATCACTACGTGGACCCTCTAAAGCCTACCTTTATTAGGTGTCCATGCTATGATATGTTTATACAGGTCCTTGCAACGATAGACTGTGTGGGGCCAAGGTACTGTATGGCTACAACGCTACACAACCCTCTGTGACACACCCTTGGAAAAATCCAAAGGAGTGAACGCTGGCCAAGCCTCTGGGCAATCGTCAGATTCGAAGACCAATGTATACCCCTGGAGTGAACGCATACAAAGCTGCTGGCCCTAAACCCTAAACCCAAGATGCCCCCAAAAACGGAACTCGAGGAGCGCCAGAGTCGGGCGAAAGAGCGAGATTCCACCGACTTCATGCGCTTCGTGGCCATGCCAGGCGCCGAACCACCTTAGGGCTTTGCGTTTAGGGGTTTCTGTTTTCAAGGATGTCAACAGGCAGGATGTACGTAGTTCGGGATCCTGTGTATACGGGCCTGCGCTTGCGATGCTGGAACCCTTGAAGGGTGTAGGGTAATGGGTAAGGTTTACAGCTTTGGGGTTTAAGGCTTCGAGTTGTGAAGTTAAGCTGTCGATCTTGCGGTTTCAAGGGTTGGCGTTTTGTCATTGTCAGGGGGGAGGGGTTTAGGGTTTAGGGTTTAGGGTTGGCGCTTTCTGTCCTTGTCAGGGGGAGGGGTGCAGTGCGGGTTGTAGTTTCTGTTTTTTGAAGGCAGGTGGAGAAGGAGGGCTCTGGTTTAGGGTATAGGGTTTAGGGTTTAGGGTTTAGGGTTTAGGGTTTAGGGTTTAGGGTTTAGGCATGCTTGTCATTCGCCTACCATCATGACGACTGAACTGTAAGAACGAATCGTTGACCAGATCTTTCTCTTCGATATCTATCGCTTCGGCCGTCCTAAAGTATTGTAGCGCCCAAACCATTCTGATCACCGGCGCCTCTTCATGGTCCCCAAGAGCCCCTGCATGTCGAGATCTTTACGGACAAAGCTGCAGCTCGACCAGGAGCACTCCTGAAACCCACCGGGGGGTTCAGACTTATGGGCCCTAACTTATGTACGTCATATGGGTGGTTGTTCAAATTATGGTCCCTTTTTAGGTCCTTATTATAATACGACCTATTATTTAGGGTACCCCAAAAGGGACCATAATTTTTACAACTACCCATATGTAGTCGATACTTGTGCGATCTCCGATTGTATCGTCGTGGTTGTCGTGCACTCGTTCCCAAGAGCCCTTCATACCCTAAACCCTAAACCCTGAACCCTAAACCCTAAACCCAACCTGTGAGAGCAGGCGGGAAGACCGCTGAAGCGAGCTGAGGTGCGCCAGACGCAGGTAGCTCATATGGGAGTTTCCGAAAATTAGGGGTACCCTTTTTTGGGTGGTCCTTATAATAAGGATCCCTACTATTTAGGGTACTATATTAGGGTCCCCTATTTTCTTAAACCCTAAACCCTAAACCCTATAAACCCTATTTTCTTAAACCCCCGTGAGGGTTTAAACCAGACTCGTCTCACCAGTTTTCCCAATGTCTGCACAGGTCGCCACAAGGAGGGTCCGGCTGCCCTTTCCATGCCAAGCTGCCCTAGGGGGTTTAGGGGTTTAGGGTTTAGGCGTTTAGGGTTTAGGGTTCGAAGCAGTCCTTCAAGGTCGAGCCCTGTTTCAGGGCACTTCTCTGGACACGCTCAGTAGCTCGGTATATAAGGTTAGTATACATACATCGTATAGGGCCTTAAAATTTACCTGTACTATTTTGGGGGCTCCTTATTTTAATTATAGTGGAATCTACCCCCCAAAACCGTATTCTAGTTATTATTAAGGCCCCTACATTACATACATAACTCGACATAATACCAGGAATGTGGCCATGATAACCTTTGGGGGGGGGGCGCGGGATCTCAGGACCCTAGACCCTTAAGATAGAAGCAGAGATAATTACCCATATTACTGTTGGGTTCCGTATTATAATAATACTATAAAGGAGTCCAAGACCCTATTCTAATCATTAAGGCCTCTACATTATGCGCCCAAGGGTCCTACAATTCCTTCAAAACACACCATCTGGCAAGTGCGGCCGGCACTTGGCGACGGCTAAGAATTCATATGGAGCCAGAAGACAGCAGCTCCGCATGACGAATTCGTGCACCGTAAAGATCTCTCCAGGTCTAAAAGTTTGTTTTGCCTTCCACCTTGATTTGTGGGTAGTTGTCAAAATTATGGTCCCTTTTGGGGTGCCCCTAAATACTAGGTGCCGTGTTATAATAAGGACCAAAAACGGGACCATAATTTTGACAACCACCCATGTAGGAAACCAGAAGTAGCTTGATGATGGTCATAGTCCTTGCAAGGCGGGGTGAGGCTGGAAACGCACGGTTCGGCCAGTTGGCGCTGACTGCAATGTAATCACTGCTGCCACAATTATATAGATGACTCTGAACGTTGATGATGACGACTAAACAGGAGAATAGCAGCATTCTTACGTAGCAGCAACGGCAAGTGCAACAGCCATTAAAATCAGAGCAGGCAAAGCCTCCTACGATCATGACATCATCGACCGGTGCAACAGCGACAGCAACAGAGACAGTCACACTTTGCATCCTCCTCTGCGTTAGCGTGTTTGTGTGTTTGTGTTCACATCAGTATCAACACCATCCCTCTCTCTTCTCTCTGTCTGTGCTAGTTTGGCAAGGCAGCTCCGGATCATCATCGTCACTCTCCGTGCATGATCGGTTTCATGATCTTCGCAGACATCGCCTTGAACCCTGAACCCTAAGCCTCCTCGAGGTCCTGACCATCACCGTGTCCGAAGGTCACCAGGACGTGGCTCAAATTTCGATAGCGTAACACCACAGTGGCAGTGTGACCCCTCCTGCTCCATGTCTATTTGATTCTGATTCTGTGCCTTGGTGGCATTTTTCCGGGATGCGCAGCGCAAAATCAAAGCCACTACATTGTAGATGCCCCCTAATTCCAAACCCTACCCTAAACTGTGGAAAACTGAAACATCCGCTGACTTTGGGGATCTGTATGCAGCATGATGATGCGGTCCGAATGTATATATAACTGACCCACGCTACACATTAGCTACCTGCACAGCTCGGCCTCGACGGGATCAGGGTTGAAACATGGCGTTCCCGCCGTGTTGGCTCTCCTCTTAGTACTGCTTCATAACTCTAGGCGAGCAGTGCTTGTAGTATATCCCGGAATATGGGGGTTTCCGAAAATAGGGGACCCTAATATAGTACCCTAAATAGTAGGATCCCTATTATAAGGACCCCAAAACAAGGTACCCTAATTGTCGGAAACCCCGGAATATTGGTCCATGTGTCAAGCCCCCACCACACTTCGCACCATGAGCCTCAGATGCAAGATCGCCTCAGTGTTCTCATAAGGAACATGAGAGGGAAGTCAATGGTCAACCAGGGTTTAGGGTTTAGGGGTTTGGGGGTTTAGGGTTCAGGGTTTAGGGTTTAGGGTTTAGGGTCTGGGGTTTAGGGTTTAGGGTTTAGGGGGTTTAGGATTCAGGGCTGGCTTCAAGGTTTGAGGCCGATTGTTATTTACCCTTTAGTATATATTTATAGGGTCCCAAATTAGGGGATCTACTTTTTAGATCATCCCGGTGGTCTGGGTACCAAGCCCTAAAGCCTCTAAATTCCCCATCCCTGATCCTTAACCTACGTATCCCGAGCTTACTGTCGGGGCCTAAATATGTTGGGGGTTCCTTATTTTTATCAGAGTATAGTGGGTCCCAAAACCCTATTCTAATTACTAAGGCCCCTATATTACAGCTCCTAGAAGTCTACTAGAAGGATCATCGCGCTGAGCAAGCAGTCTGTTGTTCGCGGCTATGCCAGCCCTATTCTACCTGCAGCTGGAAGCCCCTGGTAAATTTCTGACAATATAGGGGCCTTAATGATTACCTATACTATTTTGGTGGATCCTCAATACAATTATAGTACAATATATACCCCCAAACCCTATTCTACAACTTGAGGCCCCTAGATTACAGTGGTCTGACTCGTCTAATTGACCTTGTGTTAGAAGACACCACACCACACCGCGAAGCCCGGCTCTAAGCCTAAACCCTAAACCCTAAGCCTGAAGATCCCACAGGCAGCATGGCTTACAACTCGATGCCATACTCCACCGGCGGTGAAGCCCCAGGCGCACTCCAAAAAGAAGCTTCAAATAATTGCCAACATTTGTTCCCTAGGGCTCCTTATTAAAATATATACTATAAAGGATAAAGGAGCCCAATACCCTAGTCTAACTATTAAGGCTCCTATATTAGCCTCAAATTCAGCCCTGAACACTATTTCCTGGATTTAGGGGGCCATAGGATTTAGGGTTTCGGGGCATCCTGGGCCTCGCGCTGGACATGGTAAGGGGCTCGGTTCAGTTGTAGCTTGCGTTCGTCAGTTTTTGGGCTTCAGGGGTTGGGGCGGTCATGGGACTATTGGATTTGTTGTGTTTTTTTGAAGTAGGGGGTCATACCTAAACCCTAAACCCTGAACCCTAAGCCCTAAACCCCAAATCCTAGGATTTGTTTTGGCCGGTGGCAGCGGGGGTTATGGCTTTTCGGCTTTAGAGGGAGCTGCAGGGTTCGGGGCTGCTTGTCTTTCAGTCCTGAAAGGTTTAGGGGTTGTGGTTGGGGTTCAGGGTTTAGGGTTTACAGTATAGGGTTTAGGGTTCAGGGTTTAGGGTTTATAAGGTTTAGGATTTATGGGGCTTATGGGGTTGAGGGTTCAGAGTTTAGGGTTCAGGGTTCAGGGTGTGTGGTTTTCAGGTATGGAGGGTTATAGATATTTGGAGTTGACCTGGGCTGTCGTAGACGCAGGAGGTCCTGAACCTCAAACCCTAAACTCTACATCCAGGAAGATCCTGATCCTGTGCACTCCCATCCCTACACGCATCGGGCCGCCGAAACCCTGGCCCTAAACCCTATAAGCCCCAAACCCTATAAATCCTAAACTCTATAAGCCCTATCAGCCCTAAACCCCTTCCACAAAGCACGCCCGAAATCTGAGAAGCAGCTCGGCGTGGGCCCATGAGCCTCAGGCGTCGTCTACCACCAGGGAGGGGCGCAAAGCCTCCCCACGCGCCCTTTGGGAGGCCCAGTGCCCCCCTTGTGGGATTCGGGTTGCGTGGTTTAGGCTCTATGCGGACCGAGGGTTACGCTGAGGGTTTGGGGTTTAGAGCCCAAGGCGCCTCATAGTGATATAGGTATTGGGGTTTAGGGTAATGAACGGTGGTGTGGTATTGTGGCACTTGAAGCTCGAAAGCTTGTCAACCCCGGGCCGTACAGTGAGCCTTCAATAGAAAACATCAAAAGCTGCAGCACGCGTATTTCGGGTTAGCGTTCCGAAAGTGGGTCTTCGGAACAGTTTGTTTGTTTGCTCAGATGTGTGCGATATGGGATTTAGTCAAATAGCAGCCCTTTAAACTTCCAACCGGCTGTAAGGATAGATGATTATTTTGGTATATTACTATATAAGGACTAGTTAATATATATATATATATACATATATATATATATATGTTTATACTGTTGCTAAACAGGGAGCATGCGATGCTGCGCATGGAACCCCACTTTGGAACTGAAGATCCCGTACATATCTGGACATGCTGTAGAGACAATAGCGGCGGTACTTAGAAGCGCCGGAGATCGCAGCCTTGGTGCTCTATTGTCAGGCTGCAGTAGGGTATGTGGCTTTAGGATTTGGGTTTTACCCTATATGGATTTACCAAAAATGACAAAATCCAAAGCAAACAACCCTGAATCCCTAAACGCTCAAACAAGGTGGTCAGCGATCTGCTGCAAAATTGGTTTTGGCATTGCTGCGCTGAGTCATATCATAAAGCTGGACGCGCAAAACCACCTATAGTCTCCATTGTAGTTCCTTTTTTTGGTTTAACCATTTTTATATTAAGGATCCTATAAGGTAACCCTAAAAAGGAACTACAATGGAGACTATAGGCAGGAGCTAGGAGGAACCAGATCTCGTATCGTCCGTTCTGCCAGCCGTGCTTGGCGGGTGGGTTCCGAGGTCGCATGCATACACTACCTTGAAGGGTTTCTTTGAAGGGTTCCTTTAAAGGTCCCTTTTGCGGTTCGCGGGTTGTACTGCGCGAAGCGATTGTACTTGAAGCATCTCGGTGTTATGTAGGAACAGGTAGTTGCCTGCGGAGCGAAGCGACGCATGCCTCGTGTTGATTCTATTGCCATTGCAGAGTTTGCTTCTCGAAACAGGGGTTCAGCTGTGCAGGAAACGGTTGCATCCCACAGCGAAAGTGCGTGCATGCCGTCTGCAAGGGAAACGGTTTCACTGCGTTTGAACGGTCAGTGGGTGGGCCTTCGGCGACAGTATACCTCTAAGGGTTGCTATTGATAAAGATTACTACAAAGGCGGTTGAGTCCCGGTACCGGCGGCTTACCTGTTGTCGTTGGACCTGGTGGGACCTACAAAGCAGGGTGCGGATCAGCACTGCCAGCAGAATGTGAAGTACATGGTGGCTACGGCTCGAGGATTCGAGAACAAGAGTTGAGGCATCCGAACCGGATGCGCCTTCGCGATTTCATCGGAATGTGCATGGGTTTTAGGTTGTCCTCTCAAACATTTGCATAACATAACTAGCCGCCTGACGTCAAGCCTAAGCCTGAATCCCAAACCATGATCCTCAAACATTAAGTTAACATAAGCCCTAGACCTTAAAACTTAAACCCTGTCTAAACTTTAACCCAGGTTTATTCAGAAATGTTAAACCTTAAACCCTGTCTAAGCTTTAACCCAGATATACCTTAACCTACCAAAACCTACTTTCTTGTAGGTTCTTATTGTAACCTTAATATGGAATTTATAGGGACCCTACAAAAAAGTAGGTTTTGGTAGGTTAAGGTATGTTCAGAAATGGAGGATCATGGTCTGAGCATGTAGGAAGTTAGCCACCTTCGACGCGCTACAATCACAGTCAGAATGCCTAGTACTATTGCTTTGGGTACAGCCCCCTACAAGAACTGTGCGGAATATAATAGTCGGAGTGGCAGTAATACTGATCGCCGTAATCGTAATAGCGCCGTAACGAAATGGTAGCGAGAATTATAATCATCAGCATCAGCATCATCGTTCCTTCTCCTTGATAGCACCCGTCCCCTCCGACCAGGCTATGGCACCATACCCGGGATCGGATATCCTCAAGAGAGTGGCAGGCCGTGTCGATCCGTGTTAGTTCCTCGTGTGGGGGTTCTTTTTCGTCAACGTCCCTGATTGTCTTCCCGAAATGCCAAAGTTTGTTGCATTTGGTGTTGGCAGCTGTGAGTTTGGTTTTGACGTTGTGGGGTTTCTAGTCCCCGGTGGACCTTTAATAGGGATACGTTGGACAGCGCAGGTTTACACAGCGTTTGCGATGCAAGAATATCTCATTGGCACCATCCTAAGTATGGCTTAAGTGTCCTAAAATTAAGTCTTCTTATGATGTAGTTTTCACAAGAGCAACTGCAGTTACAACTACATGTATCGAATTGCATGTAAGACGCGGTAAGAGGTACTTGTAACTTTGCTTCGGAGAATGGCACCCTAAACCCTAAACCCTAAACCCGCTGAACCCTCAAGCAAGTCCTGATCGAGACCCCGACGGTCCAGAACCCAACATGCGCCTAACTAGGTAGCGTAAGAGCCTGGTGAAGAAACCCTGGCCCTTTACAACCGCTAAAAATTTGGATCCATAATATGAAGAACCCTAGTAAAGATCCAAAGTTTCTTAACCAGGTTCCTACATTGACATTCTTCGAGCCAACCCTAAACCCTAAACCCTAAACCAACCAGAGGTGAGGTTTTTTGGGGTTGGGGGTTTCGAGGTTTAGGGGAGTTCGGGACTCGCGAGTTTCGGACTGTGGCTTTAGCGGGATTGAGGACGGAATGCAGAAATCCGAATTTAGGGTTCTTTTTGATCTAAGGTTTACGTTACCGGGTTTAGGGATCGTTTGGGGATTTCGCGGTATGGTGCGACCAGATTCAACGAAGCTGAGAGCCTGATCCCCACATCGACAGTTGGGTAGTTTTCTAAATTAGGGTCCCTTTTGGGGGTCCTTTGTATAAGGGTGCCGTACAATATTGGGGACCTAAACAGGGACCTTAATTCAGAAAACTACCCAGTTCCAGGCCGCCCAGCACCGACAAGTCGCTCTTTCGGCGAGGTGTCGAAGACCCGGCGCCAGAGGAGGCAAGGGATATTGGTGGAGTCTTCGGGTGCTATGAAGTACCTAGACCTGTGGTCTCCATGGTAGTTCCTTTTTTGGTTTAACCAAGTATATATTAAGGAGTTTATAAAGCATCCCCAAAAAGGAACTACAATGGAGACTATAGGGAGCATCGAACATAACTTTAGAGCGTGGCATTGGCAGTTCTGAACTTAGGTGTTTGGGTCGCCTGCCGTTTTAAAGGCATGTTACTCTAGAGTAGCCCTACAGCGGTTTCGATTAGGGGTGTAAGTATGTCTAGGTTCTGGTTGTTTAAGGAGCATACGATGATGACGATGATGATGCTGCTAATGATGATGGTGATGATGATGATGAAGACGATGATGATGATGATGGTGATGATGATGGTGATGGTGATGGTGATGATGATGAAGATGATGATGATGATAATGATGCTGATGATGATGATGATGATGATGATGATGAGTGTGTGTGTGTGTGATTCCCCCATGTTGTGGTCGATGGTGGTCGTTGGTGTTGATGATGGATGGGTAGATGGTAATTATCCGTTCGAGTATTCCCACCTGCAACTTAGCCCAAACGCCACGCGCTGAACTTCAGACCCGTAACCCGACGCCCAGAAAGCGACTCAAACAGGAAAGCACCAAGCCCAAATCTTTGAATCCAACAGCATAAATAAATAAATATATTTTTATATATATGTATGAACAACATCCGCCCTCGACGAAGGGGGATCGTTCCCCAGCCGCTGCAGGCCAGTAACCAGGTGAACATGCTGGCAAGGGGCTCGGCCACCTTTGCTCGCAAGACCCGTCAGAAGAGATGCTCCACTTCTGGCGCACAAGATCTAAGTTTGAAGATGACGTTCCGAAGCCCAGGCCCCCATTCCCAAACCCCCCCGACCCCCTAGCCACCCCAAAGACATCGCCCCTACGTTTACCTTCCATGAGCTACGTGTTCGGTAGGGCACCGATATAACTTTTAGATGAGGGTGCATGTGAAGAACCCGCGAAATGAAGGTAGGCTTGTGACGTGAACCCGAATTAGACCTTAACCCTTATAGACCCTAGGCCCCTCTCAAGCCCCTGGTAGCCCGAATGCTTTGGAGCCTTATGAAATGCCTCAAAGGAACGCAATAGTCACTATAACTGTAAGACCCGTCTCAACAAATGTTGAATCTTTAAACAGAAGCCTAACATAAATAATCTGATGGTATTCTTACACAAAGTCCTAAACCCTGAACACTACTTGTTATTACATTAAAGACAGAATTCGGACCGGCCGCTAAGGAGCTTGTCTTCCTTCCCTGGTTCCTCTTAGCCCGGCGCTCAAAGCTCGAGCTGAAAGTACCGCCGCAAATTGCCAAGACCACCTTAGGGTTTAGGGTTTAGGGTTTATAGGGTTTAGGGTTTAGGGTTTAGGGTTGGGGCGTATGCAGGGCAGTATCGGGTTTTGGGCTTCTCTTTTCAGGCTTTATTTGTTCACTTTTGTTATGTACGGTTTGTTTATCGGGCTTTAAGGGCTTTTGTAGTTACACCTTATTATTTTCAGTAGGGCTGCGTAGGTTTGTGTCGTTGGCCTTTTTTATCGCTTTGCCGCGTGTTTCTCAGTGGAAGCTGAGCTGTTGTTGGCCTAGGAGGTCGATCTCAGCTGGCTCTAATGTAAAAGCCTAGATAATAGTATTTTCGGGGAGGTTCCTTATATTATAACTGTAGTATGGTAGCCCCAGAATCCTATTCTAATTCTTAAGGCCCCTACATTAAGGGGCTTCGACTGTGAGGATGTTGATCAAGCACTCCGCCGATGGAGGTACTGGTAATTGGACCAGGTGATTCCGTATGTGTCTGAGCATCATGGTGAGGGATGACAAGCGTGTGCCTGGACCCTGCAGCCACCTTACTTTGTTTATATCCTGAAACCGGACCGCTTGTTTGACTGAGTTTAAGTTGAAGAAGGCGCAAACATAAGATTTCTTCAATTCCATGGCCTCCAAAAACAGCCAAGCAAGGCCTAAACCTTGAGCTGTGAGACGTTGTTTACAAGATGAGACACGTGATATGAGAGTTCCTCAAAATCTCCTGACGGACTTCCGTGTTGTAGGACAGTGGAATCCTTCCCGCCAGGACGCCGCCGAAGCATCATGTAAAATGTTTAGAGTTCGGATTTAGGGTTGAGATTTTGCATGGTGTAGGGTTAAATCTGACAGACAAACCCAGTAGTGCAAATAAACCCTGTTACGAAAATCGCTGCGGCCTGGAACCCTGTAAAGCCCAAACCCTCAGACAAGGGAAACACACTGTTACAACATCCCAAAAAATGCGAGGTGCTGGTGCTCTCCTGCTACCTGATCGCAGGCATTTTGTCGTAAGAGCTCGTTTTTTCTGGGCACAGTAGATCTGTTCAGGTTTAGGAGTTTGAAGCTTTGGGAAATTATTGGAGCCCTGTCCCTCTGTCGCCACGTGTCGTGTACTTGTTACTCACGAAGCCCTGGAGCCTTCCACAGCTAAGCAAAACTTTGCTTTTTTTGTGCAGTGTACGGGTCCGTATGGGGCTGTGGGGGTCTGTGTAGGGGCCATCTAGTATTCTATCTGTAGGTTGTTTACAGGGAAGGCTTTATGGGTTTCTAGGGGTCTATGGTTTTAGGGTGTTACGACTTTGTACAAATCAATCGGGGTGTAATTTTCTGAAGATTAAGGAAGCTGGGGGTCTAGGCTGCATAATTCAACTATAAGAGACCTAAGCATGGTGCATGAATCATGGGCTTGGCCCTTGGAGGATTGGCAAGGGGGTTATAATAGGATTTATTGATCATTTCAAGGGTTTAAAAGCTACAGTGGTTTGTCTAGGGTTGCATACAAAGTATCTAGAAGGTACACGACAAAGAAGCACCACCAAAGGACAAAGGCACAGCGGTGTATACATATATATATATATATACATATGGGGGTGTTAGATGCACAGGGGCGAAGGGGTTCATCGTGATAGTGGCCGGCGTCTGCCGGGTTTGTTTGCGATTTCGGAGTGTCGGCAGCCAGTGTTTTAAGGGGTAAAAGTATAAGGGTCTAGGCTGCAAGGCTGTCTCGGGGCAGGAGGGTTTACGTGACAGTGATGTGTTGTCTTGCGCAGATGCAATGGCCATGAACATGAGCACGCACACACAACGAATAACGAAAACAACAAACAGCACAACATATTCGGAGCACAAACAGCAGCACGTGTGTTGAATTTTAAATCGGCATGATCACAGCAAGCAAACAACAGCAACATGACATCACAACAGCAAAAAGGAATCACATTGACAAGAAGCCCCCAATGTGATTCCACATTTGCGGGTTCAGGGCACAGAGTTCCGTTAGGATATCACATTGGCAAGTTAACTCCAATAGGATTTTATATTGGGGTTTTGCCCCACCCCCCCACCCCCCCGATGTGGAATCACATTGGGGCTGAAACTTGGAAACAACCAGATAGACTTTTACATTCAACGAAGCGCCCCAATGTGGAATCGCATTGGATCCCAAACCTTCACCCAACCTCACAGACTTGTAAACCGGCATGCAACCCCTCCCGGCAAAGCCGAATGCTATAGCGCCCGGAGCCAACACAGCGCCTAGCCTCGCGTCACACCATCTGCAGGCCTTGCTGCGGATGGCTCTCAGATCATTTTAGCAAAGTCGGGACACCCCATCCCGTCATTTTTCCCTCCATCATGATGCAGCAGCCAGTCACGAAGCGATCGCCCTCGTCGTCGTTCTCCACGTGTATGCAGGCAGTTTCGTTGTGGCTGGAACAGCACCCGCCTTGCCCCCTCACTCACAATGAAAATTGAAGCCATCTCGTTCATGTACCCCTAACCCCTAAACCCTGAACCCTAAACCCTAAACCCTAAACCCTAAACCCTAAACCCTAACCGTCTTGTCACACAAACAATAACATTCTTAGGCACTAGGACTGGGAGGCGAGGAGCCCCTGTCAGCGAACCCTGGTCCCTGGCTAGCCGGATTAATTCTGCGCCTAACTTGTGAGCCTGGAGGGTTTGGGTTTAGGGTTCAGGGGTTTAGGGTTTAGGGTTCAGGGGTTTAGGGTTTAGGGTTTAGGGGTTTAGGGTTTATGGTTTCGGGTTCGGGGGTTTAGGGTTTAGGGTTTAGGGTTTAGGGTTCGGGGGTTGTTAAAGGACAGCTGAGCCATCGCACCTTGAAATCTCAGATAGGAGCTTAGGCTATACCAACGACGCAAATCCAGCAGGTGCTAATGGGCAGCACGGTGTACTGTGGCTGATGCCTTTAGCCGCTTGGTGTCACACGGTCATGAAGATTAACGACTTATGGTACTTAATACACTCAGACGCAGTTGTCACTGAATGTGTATTTCTATTTAATTCAGCTGACTGTAGGGGTTTATATTTGAATAGTTCGTTTTCGCATGACTACTACAAGGATATTATTCCTACAAACAGTATGATTGGTGCTTGGTCACCTTGGGGCTCGCGTCGCTGTGCCGTGGAGCGTCCTATCCGGCAGTTTGTGCATTTACTTAGACGTCGATACATGGGAGTTTCCGAAAATTAGGGGTACCATATTTTGGGGTCCTTATAATAAGGATCCTATTATTTAGGGCACTACATTAGGGTCCCCTATTTTGGGAAACCCCCACATCAAGATTTGACAGTATCCTCCGATGACAGGCGAACCCTAAGTCGTCGATTCGACCTCCTGGGCTTTTCGAGTCGACTACCCGACCTTGTGTCAGAGTTCAGGGTCTTGCGGTGGTGACCCCTCGGGCTCTTTAGTGGAGTCGTTCTGCGTGCCGTTATGCGGGGTATGTAACGTTTAAGGTCGTTCTGGCGTGGTTTTGGAGTGGCTGCATCTGGCTTGTGTGTAGTCTTCACGGGTTGTCCCTGTGTCTTTGCTTGTTTGTCCTCAATGCCATGAGCTTAGCGAAACATTGTGCTCTAGTTTCGCTGAGCTACAGCACAAGGCCTAAACCCTGTACCCCTACAGCATATCTCGTGCTAGATTCCCTAAACCCTAAACCCTATACCCTAAACCATGGATACTGCGTATTGTTTCTTTTGGAAGGTGAGGGGCCGGGGCGGGTGGGGTGGTTGGCAATGTTTCTCAGAGTTTAGGGTTTAGGGTTCTTTTTGCTGGACCTGTTTCTCACTATAAGGTTTATGGTATGCGGCTCGTTGTTATTCTAGGACTTCGCTCTCCATAGGCCGATGCACCAATCGGTAAGACGGTTTGGTGTGTGTGTGTGTGTTTTGAAAAAGGTCGGCCGCAAGCCTACAAGGAGCTGAAGTAACTTCTTCATACACTGATGCCGTAAGTCTGTCGTTACGGCTGAACGTGAATTTGGCAACTTCTATACCTCTGTGTGGTGCCATTCCCAAGACGCATGCTGCTGTTGTTGGTCTCTTGCTTACGAGGTCGTGGGCTTAGGATTTCAGGGTTTCTGATTTAATAAACCCTAAACCCTAAACCCTAAACTCACATGCCCTGAGAGTCCATGTGCCCAAATAGTTTATACTTTGGCCCCAAAGTAGCCAAATAGGGACTACTTTAAGGCCAAAGTATATACTTTTTGGGCACTTGGACCCTTAGGGATGGTCCGGGATGGTATATGTATGGTATATGCTGTCTTACGTGTTTTTTTTGCTTTTGCTATGCCTTTTCACATGGTTTGAGAGCTCACGTCGTAAAGGGCTGCTTGCTAAGGCCTGAGGGTAGGATTACAAGTTCATGAACAGTATACTCAGCATATGGTACAGATAGTGTAAACAACAACAGAAGCAGTTTGTGTGTGTATATATATATATACATAAATACATACATACATACATACATACATATATATATATATGTAAATACATACCTTTACGTGGCTTGGTCTAAGCCGACACACGGCACCTGAAGCTTAATCCTAGGCCCTTAAACCCTTCAAGCCCTATAAACTAGTAAACTCCGTACTACAGAAAACCCCAAGAACCCTAGCCCGGGATCCCACAGTACTTATCCCAGGAACCTTATGTATCAAGGACTCGCCTCGGTAGCTCACGCCCAGGTGCTCATTGCCCTCAGCGCGGCTTACATTAGCCACTTGCTTGGCTGCAGTCTGGGGTTTTGAGGTAAGGGCTGGGCATGTAGGGTTTCGGGTCTGCGGCAGAGGTCGGATTTGAGGTTTGGGCACCCCACAACTTTAGGCACAGGTCTGTCTTGCACAGGAGGCGCCCCTAAACCCCAAGCCCTAATGCCTACGCAGTAAATGTAAACGTCCTTACATGCCTCGCCCCGTCGCCTTGCCCCCCTCGAAGGCATGTCCGGACCTCAAACTGATACTAAATCGTTGGCAGCCTCGACCTTGAACCCGAAACCCAAAAGCCTAAACCCTAAAGCCTAAACCCTACAGCCTAAACCCTAATCATCGTACGGGGCTTTAGGGGTTCAGCCGTTCGGCTTCAGCTTCTCTCGAAGTCCTAATCCCCGAAGTCTTAGTTGTCCAGGGGTTTCAGGGTGTTTTATACTTGGAAAATCATGGGACTTAGTAAGTATGCTTATAAGTCCCCTAATTGGGGTTATAAGTATAGCTACCTTAGTTATAACCCTACTTACTAAGTCCCATGATCCTTTAAGTACCCTAAACCCCTCAACCGGATGAAGGTTTTATAGTCTGCAACTTCACCAGAAAATTTCCTAGCCCGATGTTCTGGAGGTTTCTATAGCCCTACGCCCTGAACTACAAACCCCAAACCCGTCGCGACTGCCAAGGATATAACTATAGACAGGGAAACACCGACGAGGCCCGGGGCTTGGGTTTAGGGTTGTTTGGGTTTAGGGTTTAGGGTGTAGGGCCCTTCTGATTACCAACACTAGTTTGCGGGCTCCTTAATAGATCCTTAATAGTATATAGTATAATGGGCCCCAAAACCCCATTCTAATTATTAATAAGGCCGCTATGTTCGGCTTTCCAGCTGCTCACAGGCTTTGGCTGGGGGCACAGGTTCATGTAGGGGTCGGAGTACTTGGTAATTATAGGCATATTCCTAGTGGGATGTGCCCCGACACCCTAAAAACCCTAAACCCGATTTGGGTAGTTCTCTAAATTAGGGTCCTTTTTAGGTCCCCAATATAGTACGGCACCCTTATAAAAAGGACCCCCAAAGGGACCCTAATTTTGACAACTACCCATTTAGCAGGGCTCCCTTTTGCGGCGGGCATCGGGCTTTCTGTGTAATATAGGGGCCTGAATATATAGAAGAGGGTTTTGGGGCCCATTATACTATACTTCTATTAAGGACCCCCCCTCAAAAAAAGTAAATGGATAACATAGGTAATTATTCAAGCCCTTATATTACTTCTGACACGTTTCGAGCCTCTCCAAGATTCCTCGGTCAAGTGCCCCATTCGATGCTAAGGCACATTCCTTAGTTAAGGGTCCCTAGAAACACAGAAGGAATATATATATATATATATATATATACATATATTCCTAATAACAAAGGAGTGCAAGGAATATTCCTTAGCTGAAGGCGTTTTGGAGTCGGGGTAAGGATTCAGTAGGTCATGCTTCCGCAGTAGCTGTCCGTTTCAAGGAGGGGACCCAGAGACTCCAATATCCCTTAATTAAGGAACATTCCTTAAATCATATTAAGTATCCTACTATAATTTACGGAATATTCCTTAATTAAGGAATATTGGAGTCTCTGGGGAGTGTTTCCGGGTCCAGCCGATGCAGGGTTTTGGGCAGCCGTCCATCAAAACACGCCTCAAAAAGGCCCAGCACGTCCCAACCGGAGAACCAACAGAACTAAGCCCTAAACCCTAAATCGTAAACCATAAACCCCAAACCCTAAACCCCAAACCCTAAACCCTAAACCCTAAACCCTAAACCCTAAACCCTAAACCCTAACCCGAAACCCTAAACCCTAAACCTTCGGGTCCTGGCTTCCCAAAGCTAAGACCCGAGACCCCAAAGGTGTTAGAGTCTGTGGGGCTCGCTGAGTGCATGCAGACCAACTCCCGAAAAGCCGAGGCCTAAGCCCTGTCTTCACTGCTAAGCCCTAAGCCCTAAACTGGCCCTAAACCCATGCATCCCTGAAGTGGAAACCCCTAAACTCTTGAACCCAGAGCCCTAACATAGCCAGCAGGTAGTCCTCGGATCCTTGTCTCTCACCGGCGTCATCATCGCCGCGGTCGTGGGCTTGCCCCCTGAGCCGCAATGGCGTCCGCCATTGTTTCTTCCCAAGGGTCTTGGTGTGAACAGATCTGTGAGACAAGAGTAGGGTATCTGTGCTTGTAGTGCGGGACACTGGTAGGGTTTTGGGGATGTGGGTTTCAGGCGTTGGGGCTTGGGGCAATGCCTGGAGCTGCGGGGTCCATGTTTGAAAGGTCTAGGGTGACAAGTGCGGTTTAGGGGGTTTAAGATTTCGGGGTTTGTGTCTGCTACACCGAGAATAGGGTTCGAGCTGCGATCTGCGAGTCCGATATAGGCTTTGGATAAGCTAGAGCCGAAGCATGAAATCCAAAACGCCAAACCTTAATCTGGTTGAGCCTGCAACCCATGTGCTTAACAGCAGTCTCCTTTATTGAAACCCTGGTTTTAGGGTTTAGGGTTTAGGGTCGGCATAACGCTTATGATGCTGCGGCTTAGAGGGCTTTGTGTTGAGCACCTATGCAAACACACTTGGGAGTAAATTGCTAGATGCAGCCATGTGTGCCCTGGACTTGCGATCTTAGAAACCACCCACGGGATCCGAACTCCCGGTGGCCGAAACGCTTCCCATGAACCGCAGTATCTTCTGAAGCCTGAAGCACCCGTCGTAGACGTTATAATACGCAATCACCGTATAAACGCTGAAGCCTTAGCCCCTGAAAGCTCAAAGCCCTGAACCCTACGTCCAGGTTCTGCAACATCAACATGCTGCAGGAGCTGCACCGGGTGAACCAAGGCCGGCAGTCTACTTGCGACGTAATATGGGAGTTTCCGAAATTGAGGGGTACCTTATTTGGGAGTCTTTGTAATAAGGATCCTACTATTTAGGGTGCTATATTAGGGCCCCCTATTTTCGGAAACCCCCATATAGAAGCCGAATTAATCAGCAGTAAGTTGGTGGAAAGGGTTCCTGATCATGATTGTATTATAATAATGGACATCAAAGTTCTGTTTATAGTGATTGCAGTGCCCCAACCCCAAATGGCAGGTACTTATGGTCCAGGGTCGAGGGACAGGGTAAAAGGTTGAGGGTTCCGAGCTCGTGTGGTTTAGGGTAATCCGGTAAAGTAGAAGCTCAAGAGCAAAACCCACTGGCCATCAGAAAAAAGCGCGATAAAGTCGCGCAGGAGTAGAGTGGTGTGTGTTTGTATGTACACCCTATACGCCCTAAAATCCGAAAGCCCCAAGCCCCTAAGCCCTAAAACCCTAAAGCCCTAAACTCATCAGCCCTAAACCCGCGGGATTCTCCCGCGAGGGTGCTAGGTCGTCGGGTTCCGGTTTGCCGTTTCGTGACCTTGGGATCCAACTCTTATACTTCCCAGAGACTCCAATATCCCTTAATTAAGGAATATACCTAAAACTTACTAAGGATCCTACTATAATTTACGGAAGATTCCTTAATTAAGGAATATTGGAGTCTCTGGGTTGTAAGGGCTGTGGCTACCATGAGGCTTATATAGACGCCTAAAGAACTCCTAACGCTATTCCTTGGAGATCTTTCGGGTTCACCGTCAGACTATTTTCTTCCCCAAAGGCTTTTTCAAACTGCCAAGGCGTCTATTTTATACTACTCGACCTACTAAGCTAGAAGAAGTGCTATGCTAGATGCAGTACCTACCGCTGGGTCTTTGGAGTAACATAGGGCGACATAGGGGAGAATACATATTTGCGTATACTATTTTGGGGCTCCTTATAATAATTGTACTATGATAGCTCCCAAAACCCTGTTCTAAGTATTACGGCCCCTATAGTAGGGTTTGGAACTCCGTGTGTCCACATGTTTTCGATGTTAGGTTTTAGGGTTAGCTGTTCAGGGTTTAGGGTTCAGGGTTTCGGGTCACATTGTTAGAAACAGTTTCTGTAGAACTTCGCTTAGGTCCATTTGTTGAGCTTTGATGCATAAGGTTCAATCATGAAGTCCCTGCGGTAAATACCGCAGAGCACCATACCTAGGTCTGAAGAACTGGCAGTTCTATCGCTTTACAACCGCCAAACACTTGTATAAAAGTTATATGTATGTATGTGTGTATGTATGTATGTATGTATAGATGGATGGATGGATTGATGGATGGATGTATGTATATTAATATATATGTATATTTGTTATTGACTTTTTTCAAAATATGTACTCGCTGTATTATTGGTTTTCGTGTTCTATGTATACATATATATATATAAACACATACTTTCGTTTTATGCGTTTGAATAATCAAAATCTATCGCCTTTTAGGTATTTATTGTGTGTTTTGCTTACCTAGTATAGCCTGGTGATGCTATATTAATCCGCTATCCCAAATCCTTGTCGAACTATTAAGGCCTCACACAGCCCTAGTTCAAGAGCCATGGCAGGTGCCAGCTACTTCAACGTCTTAGCGTCGGAGGCACCGTTGCTGGTGGCTGTAGGAACCCTGAGCGAACGGTTTGACGCCCAGGGTTTTGGGTCTGGGCTAAATCTGGGTTTAGGGTTTGGGGCTTGGGGTTAGTCCCGGAATACGAATCGTATTTGCCGTTGACGGCGCACAAAGCGCATGTCGAACACAGGCGTGAGCCCCTTGAAGATGCACACACCTGACGCCCTAAACCCTAAAGTCTTGTTTTAACCCTATGGCCCAAACATAGACCCCCGACGCCCTGCACCCTGAGGCCCAACAACGCTAATTAGAAACAGGCCCAGGCTGACAAAGCGCCAAAGCTCGAAACGTTGCTTAAGCCAGAAACTTCAACGCCCAAAGCCTAAACCCTTAAACCCTAAACCCTATTAACCCTAAAGCCCGAAACCCTAATCCCCGAACCCTAGAACCAAGTCCGAAGCTCTTTCACCCTACTGTAGGGGCCTCAATAATTACCGATATTATTTTTTGGCGGGGTTCCTTTGTGTATATCGTATAGAATACCTCCAAACCCTATTATTCTAGATTAATCATTAAGGCCCCTAAACCCTAAACCCTTATCAAGTAACCCTTATAGAACCCTTTAAGGAACCCTTTAAAGGAACCCCAAAACCCTGGTCTAATTATGAAGGCCCCTACATTACGTCCCTTGACAGACCTGCGAGAAGAGACTCTAAACCTTAAGCGAGCAACCCGCCTGCAGCCCAAAAGGCAGAACCCACACCGTAATATGTGTATCTAACTTTATGTGTCTATGCATATGTTTGTGTGTGTATTAATATGTGACATGTGTATGTATATATATATATATATATGTGGGTGTGTGTGTATGTATATACATATCTAAAGACAACGTTATCCTTCGAGTTCATATGCTTCCAGTATTTCCGGTTTGGTTTTTAGGGTTCTGTGCATGCTTATCCTGAAAAACCTACTCTAAACCTTAAATTCAAACCGTGAACCATAAACCTCAAACTCTAAACCCTGAGCCCTCAATCCTAAACTCTAATCCCCTAATCCCTGAACCCTCGACCCTAAACCAAAAGAGGAGCTACGTCGGAGAGTCTTAGGCACACCCTAAGGCTCGGAGCCCCTCCCTGGATGTATAGGGTTGGGGATCTGGAGTTGTGGGCTTAGGCAGGCTTTAGGGTTGAGGATTAAGGGTTGAGGATTAAGGGTTTGGGGTTTAGGGTCTAGGGTCTAGGGTTTAGGGTTTGGGGTTTAGGTTGAGGGTTTAAGCTTCATAGGGTTGAGGGTTTTGGCTGTAGGCTTCAGGGGGCTGAGTCTGTGAGTTTAAATTTTCGCGCCCCGGCGCCGCGGCAGTCTGCGACGAGCAAGCTCGACGCCACTAGCCTGGTCTTCACCAACACAACTCGTGCCTTGGTCTGGGGTTACAGTATGGGCCCCACCAAAAGCCATAAATAAGGCCTGCTTGGACCCTTAGAGTTAGCGATTAGGGTTAAGGTCTACTTTAAGGTACCGTTATCATAATCGACTTTCTTGTAGGTTCTTATGATGGACCTTAGTAACCCTCGTATGGAGTTGATTATAGGGCCCCACAAAGAAGCAGGTTATGGTAGAGTTTAGGGAGGCGCTACTTAAGGGTTTATAAAGAACGTTCGTGCTGTCCTAAACCCTATGTAAGCCCTAACGGGAGCGAAAGGCCCAACAGACCTAAACACAACAATAAAAACCTATTTTAGGGCTGTGGGGCTTTGGGGAGGCTCCTTGGCTCGAGAGAAAGATCGTGAACTGTAGGGTTTAGTGTTTAATGTTTATGGTTTAGGGGTTTCCGGGTTTAAGAGGGCTTAGGATTAAGTGGACCCCAACAGGTATGTGGAATAGTAGGCTTTCATAGGTATTGGGCCACTACTTTTGCCAATTTGGGCGGGTTTAGGCAGGGATTAGGGGAGGGGCCCCTTCAAAAATACCCGTCAGGCTCTGCACGGTACGATCCTTCCTGGGGAGATTTCGCAGAAGAAGTGGCTCTAATCTATGAGCCCTGCAAGGTAATTAAGCGCCCCCGGGTTCCTTATACAGACCTCATGAAACCTTTAGGGTTTAGTGGTTTTGGGATTTTGGGTTATATGCAAAGCCCAAAAGAAAGCCTGAGAGCAAGACGAGGTCTCAGTACTGCAGAGTATTTCGGCCGGAGCCTTAGACGAAGCACTGGTCCGAAACTACGGAGGGCACTTTATGGCGTCGGTGTTGAGAAGGGGTTGTGGTTGATTTCAAACGGGTTTAGGAGAACGGTCAGGCCACCCGGTGAGGGGTGAGGCGATGGTTTCGGGGTGTGAGACTTAGAGAGTTTTGTTCCAGATTCCTTACGAAACCTTCGTCTCGGGGTGTGATAAGGCTTAGAAGCCTAAACCCTAGGGCCCTAAACCAAGCTAAGCTCTATGTTCAGTCAGGTTTTCTTTTTAAGGTGTAGTCCTCAGCAGCGTGATGTCTCCATCCTATGTACTTGTTCTTTCTTTATCGCTCTTGCAAATTACTTGTTTCTTTTCTAGCCCCCCGTGTCTATGACCCTGACGTTAAAGAAAAGAAGAAGAAACCCTAAACCCTAGACCTTAAACCCTAAACCCTTAATATCGCTAAACAGTTCTAAAGGAGGTTTGGAGGTTCAGGTTCGGACTCGTGGTAGGCCAAGCCAAGCCATGCTTGCGTGCACTTGGGTTTGTTCTAGGCCTAGTCTCTCTTCTCTCTCTTCTCTTCTCTCTATCTGCTGTCTATCCATCTACCTATCTATCTACTGGGTCGAAGTGGTTTATTGGCCCGCAGGCCCAGAAGATAACCCAATCGCGCTGTGCCTTGCAGAACCCGCAAGATTCATAGATTTGGTACTTAACTATTTATAGTTCTGTAAGCTGTGCCCTGAGCACGGAACGCGAAGGCACGCTCGTATGGGTGTATACATCTTGAGCCGACCTTGAGATCGAAAATCATCCATCTGCGAAGGTACACTTGCAATTAGATATAATGAATAGTGTGCAAATGTGGATGGTTGTATGTGTGGCTGCCAACATGTCAAGGTTGGCTTACCTCCCCCACGCCTCCGAGCCGAACAAGGGCTTACTAGCTGAGAATGCATAAGCCCAATATATGCCGTAGGCCAAATACCCTATATCAAAGATGGTGCAGGGATTAAGGTTGTTCTACGGATTTTGTGTTGGTGAAGGACGCTCATGCGGCTGCGATCTTGCCTCCATGAGTAGTCGGTCAAACAGTCTTGGGCTGTGTCCTAGAACAGGGGGGTGCGCTTGCGCACTGCTTGCGCGAAGCTTGCGCGCGGCTTAC